GGGGGTTGCTGAGCATTTGGACTTTGCTCGACCCTTCATCGTGGTCTCCCACACAAGGCATCGGTTTCGCCTCGGTTCTGTGAGCTGCGTGGGATGTTCCTGAGCAAACTGGGCAGTGCCATTTTGGCGTGTTACAGAGGTGGTGACAGAGCTCTCAAGGTGCCACTAGCTGTGAGTTCCTCTAAGCCATTTAGCCCAAAAGGCCATGGCAGCCCCAGGGCAGCCGCCCACATCCTGTAGGCCATGGCTGTCCATAGCCATGGATTCCTCAGGGGACGGGTGTGGCCGTGCGGGCATTGTGATCTCGCTGGTGATGTTGGCTCTGGAAAGCGCTGGTGGGGTCACAAAGGGCTCCTGCCTGGCAGCCCTATAAAAGCCGGGCAGCCGCCCCAACCCTTGGCCACAACCACCATGGCCCGCTACCGGCGGAGGTCGCGCAGAGGTCGCAGCGCAGCGCAGCCGGAGCCGCCGCCCGCTCCCGTCGCCGAGGCGTGCGGAGGAGACGCCGGACTCGCCGTCGCCGCCGGGGCGGCAGGAGGCGCAGACGCCGCTGAGCCGAGCTCAGGGCCTCGGCCTTACAGAGCCAGAGCGCCCAGAGCGCGGCCCTGACGCGGGCCTGGTTCTGCCAATAAAGCACAGCAAGCTCCCATCAGATGAGGGTGTCAATGTCCCTGGTGTCCCTGTGCGCCGGCAGCGACTCGCTCGGGGTGCGCCTGGGGCCCGCGTCTCTCTGCTCACCTGGGCTTTCCCTGGTTCATGAGAGCCCCCTGGACCCCACTCTGGAGTGCTCCACTGTGGATCGGGCCTCTCGGAAACGGGGCCCTATTCCACGAGTGCATGCCCTGCATGCAGTTTTGGGATTACGGCCACTAGTTTCCAGGCACTTCCTGTCTTCTCCCCCATCTGGGTATCAGCACCCCCTCAGCTCGCCAGGGTCTTCTTCTCAGTTTTATCCTTCTTTACCTGATATGCTGAAGATCCCTGAATCACAAACTTCTGTTGTTCATCAAAAGTCCTGAATTTCTTGGCCATATTGTCCATCTGAGCCAGCAACTTCTGGTGTTTCCCATACTCTGCATGGAAGTCATCCTTATAGCTCTGGTGTTGCCCATAGGAGAATATAGCTATGTATTTTCTAATGGGAAAAGGAGAATATTTGGATATTAATGTGTTCCGAGAGAACATTCTAATGTGCCTCTATTCTATAAAGCACACGTGCAATTTTACACCAAGCACATGGTGAATGCAAGATAAGCGTAAACAATTTACTGCCACAGTAAATGGCCTAAAGGTGTCCACTTACAGAGCTGGAGCGGTTGCAGCTCAGTGTGCCATGACACCTTGAATTAAACATCAGACATTGGCAAGGCCACAGGTTCTTCCCTAGAGAGGCAAGCCCCAAAACTGTGCAACAAGGAGAACACAAGGCTGTGGACTCCCGTGGGATGTGCACATGGAGTTCTCCTGAGGCTATTTTCGGGAATAGAGTTCAGGAACTCCCCCTGTAACATCAAAGAGCGAGCTGCAAAACCATCATCCACCTGCTAAGCTGCCCACTATTCTTTCCTGAGTCTCCTACGGTATCCTAGTTCACTTTGATCCTGATGAGAATAGGAGCTGGACTAGATCCTAAACTGACCAGAAATCTTTCATTTCTGACAGAAGAGTATTTACGCTTTCCATGTTCTTCCATAGGAAAACTAACAGCTGAAAGAAAATCTGCCAGCGGGTGAAATGAGCATAAATTGGGCTTTGCTTTTGCCATCACAGGAGGTGTTTGTTTTTCCACTGTAAACCTTCAGCTTGTTTCACCAACGTTCCCAGCTGTGTGTCTGACAGGTGAAGTTCTGTCTGCTGTTGCTGTTGGTGGGGCAGAGCATCTGCCACCTTCCTCCTTTGGGGATGTGTCTGGGAGCTTACTAAAGGGGAAATGGTGGGGAGAGTTCCAGTTGGGAGGTGAAGTGCACTGCTCTGTTCTCAGATTTCAATTCACCTGCTGTCCAGAAGATAAAATTATTATCTTTATTGGCAGAGCCTGGCCCGCATCAGGGCCACACTCTGGGCACTTTGGCAACTAATGCGTATTAAAATGTCTTTTGATAAAGAGAATGCACACATATATCCCTGGCTAGTAAATACATGTATTATCTTGAGCCAAGCACGAATGTTAGAATGAATCCAGCGCTGCAATAAGTTAATGCTGCTTCTTAATACTATATTAGTGTTCAGGAGTTTTATTTCCAGTTTTCGGTGACACTATGCCCATGTACCAGCGAGTGCACCAGACACTGCTTGGGCACAGCCATTGTGACCTTGCTGGTGGTGTTGGCTCTGGAATGTGCTGGTGTCACAAAGGGCTCCTGCCTGGCAGCCCTATAAAAGCCACGCAGCCGCCCCAGCCCTCAGCCACAACCACCATGCCCTGCCACTATCGGAGATCTTACAGGAGCCGCAGTCGGAGCCGCCGCCGCTCCCGTCGCCGTGGCATGCGGAAGAGACGTCGGGCTGGATCCCGCCGATATCGCCGGCGTCTCTCCCGTGGCAGGAGGCGCAGACGCTACTACCGCTGAGCTGAGAGCGCTGGCCGTAATGCAGTCCTGGCTCTGCCAATAAAGCACAGCAAGTTCATGTGAGGGTGTGAATGTCCCTGGTGTCCTTGTGCACTGGCAGCGGGTCCCTGGTTTGGAAGAGCCCCCTGTACCTGAAGCTGGAGTGCTCCACTATGGATCGTGCCTTTTAGAAAGAGGGCCTTATTCCATGAGCACATGCTCTAAGACCCAGATTGCTCAAAAGCTTTCTTTTTCCTTGCTGCACATGTTCCAAGAGTGACACTTCCAGTGCTCTTTCTGTGCAAAGCCTTCTGGAGGCAAAAAGGGACATGGTGTGGGGAGGAATGTTAGTAAGTGGGAGCTTGCCCTGAAGTCCCTTTTGCCAGGGCAGATGCCCAGGGGTTTTCTAACCCTGAGCAAGAGCAGGACCCTCAGGGCATGTCATGTGTTCTGGATGTGGCCAGGACAGGGTTAATATTTGCAGTGGTGGAGTGGTGCCAGGTTCCACAGGTTCCATGTGCTGAGCAATCGCGTGTGAATCTCTGACCTGTCTTGTACACTCTGCTATTAGTATTGTTGTTGCTGTTCATCTTCTTATTTCATTGCTGTTTCTAGCAAATTTTTCCTATCTCAACCCATGATTTTTACTTTCTTGTGTCTCCAAATCTCCATCCTGTGCAGGGGTAGTGGTGGAGAAGTGAGCAAGTGACATGTGGTCTTGGGTCTTTCAATGTGAACACTAAACTGGGGAATACCATTCCTAAACCATGAATATGGAAATATGGAAAACTCATATGTGTAAGTGATTACTTTCATTGTCTAGTCTTATAGGAGAATTAGCCTGCTGAAAAGCAACTGCTGTAATTGAACTGAAAGCCTGTTAGGTAACATTTATTCTAAATTAAAGATTTTATACAGTTACATATAAAGCAACACATGAATATTGCGAAATAATCTTTATAATACTATTCTACATATTATCTTTTGGTGGGAGAAATTCCTGTGGTCTTTTTTCAGTCCTACAGTGACAAAGAATTCTATAAAGCAAATTACAGCTGAATTTTTCAGCTCAAGCAAAGTTAAGTAAAATAGCAGAAACTGTTACATTTGAGCTACATTTCCAAAGCAGATGGTTAACTTGAATACTTAAGGCCAAAGAAGGGGAAATGAGAGTATCTGTGTGTTGAACAAAAAAACATAATGGAACTGTGCAAATGCATTCTGTTCCTCCCCCAAATGGATATTCTAATATTCAAAACATCACTGAAGGTCGAGGCCAGAATTTCAAGTGATTTTGTTTCCTTTCTCCAGTTGTGTGGCAAGACAAACTTCGTAGGTCAGGTTTTCTTCCCTTGCCCTTCAGTAACACCAGCTTACAGCCCCAAGGTCTCTCCCCAAGGTCTCTTTTCTTCCCTGAGAGGCAGCAAAGACTAAATTATGTTGGCACGTACAGGTGCTGCCAACCATTCCCTCCTACCTTCATTTTTTCCTGCAGTGCTCCATTGCCTCAGCTGCTGCTCCCTGTCAGGTGTTCCGAGCTGCCAGAACTCACTCCATCTTCCCATGTAGAGGAAAATCCTGAAATGAGGGAGATGCCTTCCGTTAACTGCTACATATTTTAATACTGCCAGTTCTCAGCTGCTGAAAATATTAATTTCTGTGCCCTTTTCTCTTTCCCCAAAGGATACATTTTGCACCCCAAACCTGCAAACCATGCATCTGGTCAAGGGTGAATATCTACCCCACAGGTAGGTAGATCCCACCACTTGGCTCAGCCTCCTTTCCTTAGACTTAGAACTTTTTTCCCAGTTTGTGAAATGCATATGGTTTCTTTTCACTGTCTGATGATGATCACGGCAGCCTCACTGTGTGGAGGGCTGCCAAGAAGGGATGGACAAAGTGCATAGGAGTGTGACAAGACATGACAGAGGACAAAAACCAAGGAGAGTGAAGTTGGGAAGATGCAGATGTGGACAAGAGGCCTGTACTCAAATATCACCTCTTTGCCTATAGCCTATGCCTTCACGTTCTCCTAAAGCCTCCCAATTACAGTAGCAGGAAGCCCTTCGGAGGGAACTGTCATTTTGCAGGCTAAATCCTATTAGCAGCAGCTGAGAGAGAAAATACCATGGTGGCTGGATAGGTAGGGTACCATAATATACAACAGGATACAACAGAACATTTCATTTAGAAGAGACCAATAATAACTATATAGTACAACTGCCTGACCCCTTCAAGGATGACCCAAATTTAAAGTAAGTCATTAAGGACATTGTTCAAATGCCTCTGGAACTGATAGGCTTGGGGCATTGACTACCACTCAAGAAAGCCTATTCCAGTGTTTGACCACCCTCTCACTAAAGAATGTTTTCTCATGTTAAGTTTGAACCACTCCTGATGCAGTTTTGAATCACTTCCCCATGTCCTGTCACTGGATCCCAGGAAGACTTTTAAAGGCATGACAAGACAAACGGCCACAGTCATGTGACACAGGTAACTGAGGGAGAGCTACATGGAAATGCAGAAGCTGAAAACAAGAAAAGGTATTTTCTTTTTTCTCCTGACACCATGTGCCTGCAGGGATGGAAGGCCTGCTGTGACAACACTGGGAAGAAGAGGCTGATGTCAATGACCTGTGGACTGTGACTTCACCGAGTGATGGATTGTGACCTCACTTTCCTCTCTGCTTATCTTGGGGTGACTGGGAGTCTGAATGCCTTTTGTACTGTCACCCAGGGGCAGAGGCTGATGTCACCGAGCAGTAGACTGTGACATCACGGGGAGATGCATTATGACACTGCTTACATTGAGATATTGGCAGAGCCTTCATCAATCTGGCTCCAGCCTGAACTTCTACCAAGCAAGACTGTGAGTCCAAGAGGATCAAACCAGGCTTCTCCAGTGAGGACTGGTGCCTGCCACTGGCAGATATTGGTGCAGACCTGGAGCAGTCTTAACTAGTGTTTCCCTGGCCCTGCCTGGTTCAGGCAGCCAGGCACTGCAGGTGCTGGCAGCAGTGAAGATTGGCTCTGTGGGAAAACGTGCCCCCCAGGGGGGTGGCTGTGGCGTGGGTGACGGGGGTCAGGGAGCTGGAAGGATGTCATTCTTGAAGGGCCTGGATATTTCTTTCCCCTTCCTGGGAGAGCCAGTGACCATGGCTTCTCCCTCCTGTGACATGTGGCACCAGTGAAGGCAAGCAGCTCCTGATCCTCAGCTCTCCCCAGTGTGCTGCAGGACACAAAAATGGCCACGGAGACAGACGGCAACTGCCCCATTTGCCAGGACACTTGGAAGGACGTGGCTTCTGCTCTACCCTGTCACCACCGGTTCTGTCTGGGCTGTATCCTGCGGTGGGCTCAGAGAAACCCAGTGTGCCCACTCTGCAGAAAAACAATAGAGACCATCCGGTTTTCTGACTATGGAGAAGGAGACTATCTGGAGACAGCCATCACAGCCCCTGAGGAGCTGCCAGATGGCAGCAGCATGGCAGGGAGAGCTCCTGACACCCTGGCTGAGAACAGTCCCCATCCCCCTGGGACATCCCGTTCATTTTCTCCACAGGAGACACTGTCCCAAGTAGAGCAGGAGGGTTCAGGTAGTATCCTGCCAGAGGACTGGGCAGAACTTTTCCGTCAACAAGAGCATCTCCTGGACCCTGTGCGGCCCTGGCTACGCCAGAGGCTGGAGGGAATATACCGGGGCTGGTGGTGGGTGGTAGAGACCATAGAGAGCACCATCCTGCATGGCCTCTGCGTCTATGGGCTGAATGCAGAGGTCTTGATTGAAGTGCTGGAGCTTCTCCTCCAGGAACACGCAGCACCACTGATCCACAGTGCCATCAACATCATTGTGGGCCAGTGCAGTGAGGAGGCCCAGAGACTGATGTGCTCTGGTGCAGTCAGAGATGAGAACAATGGCCCTATGGCCACAGCCAGCTTCAGCTCCAGCAGCTACAGCTACTCCAGGAGCTCCAGCTTCAGCAGCTCCAGCTCCAGCAGTTCCCAGAAGGGGACTCCTGCCAGCAGCCTCACAGGCTCTGACATGGAGGAGGAACCTGCTACATCAGAGGCCTCCCTCCTGCCCAGGGCAGCAGCCACAGCCCCTCCGCTCCCATCCAGGGCAGGGAGTGATTGCCCGGGGAATCCCAGCACCCCCCAGACAGGAGGGCCCCCAGCTCCCAGGACTCTCTGCAACCCTGCAAGAGACCGCCCCACTGGCGGTGCTGGCAGGGCTCTTGCAATTCTTTATTCAAGGAAAAGGAAATAAATTATTATTTCCCTCACACAGTCTCTGGGTGCTGTTTTCTCTCCCTTCTATTGCCTTTCCCCTTCTCTTCATGCCCCATCGCGGGTGCACCCACATGCTGCAATGCACAGCCATGGACTCCTGCAGCCCCAGGGCCATGTTAGCAGTACCTCCTCCCACAGGAATTTCTGCTGCAGATGTGCACCTGTAGTGAAGCAGATGCCAAAGGCAGAAAGAGCAGCAGGGGCTACTGGTGTTATCAAGGGGACGATGCCCTCAGCCTGCCTCTAGTGCCCCTCTCTGCTTAACCATGGACACTTCTGCTCTGCTCTGGTTTCTCTCCACTGTCTGGTGCTGACCAGGGCAGCCTGCAGAGGGTAAATATTCTCGCAGATGAGCAAGATCTACTGAAAACTTCTTCCTGAGTCATAATTTTATCTCTTTGTTACAAACAAACACAGATTGGCACAGATTTATAGATATTAATTTTCTCCTTTAGGATAGTTGGTGCTGACTTCCAAGATCCTGAGGTGATTGGGGTTTCCAATTTCAATCTAATCAGAGAAATCAACTTACTCCATGTGGCATCAGTGGCATGGTGTGTGGAAGACACTTTCTCTTTGGACATCCAGCCTAGCACTGGAAGTCAGGGTGCCAGTGTTGCAAAGCAGTTTAAATTTAGTAGTAGAATGGCTAAGGCTTAAGTAAAAGGGTAAGGCCTAGAAAGCAACACATTACAGTAGTGAGTTAAGCAGCAGCCTTGTTCGTGGGAATAGAATGTACTGAAGAAGTAGAAACAATAATCAAAAGATTTAGTCAAGCATGTACGTAACGATTTGTACCTTAGATGTGGTAAGGGTCTGTGAAACAGTTTCTAGGGGGGTAAGGCAACTTAAGCAGATTTATGATTAGAGTAGATGATTGTTAATTGTTATAAACTACTGCACCTGGGTTGCTATAGAAACTGTAATTGTTTTAGCCGTGAGAATACATGTAAACTTGTTTGTGTATAAAAGCTGAACTGAGAACGAGGGTCGTCGGAATCCTGACTTGGGGCGTTAGCCCGCAGGTTCCCGGGGCCCCGAATAAAGCACCCATAAACCGGCACTCTGTTGGTTTGTGTCTTTGTTTACGGGCAACACCAGGAGGAGCTGTGCTTCGTTGCAAATCACTTCTGAAGCAGCTCAAACCAGTTCATAAGCTGCTAGGATCTCTTTTTTTAGTTGGGGTGTAACAGGCCTCCGATCCTCTGTTTCCCCAGCTCCAGAATGCCAGGTGTTATTCCTGAGTCTTCCTGAACACTTTTTGTCAGACACTCCAAGAAGGACCGTTCTCCCCGGCTGCAGTGTAGAACACATTTTTTACATCCTGTTCTGTCCTGACCAGTGCAACTACTGCAGGAACAATCTCCTGTTCAGTTTGTTCAAAAGCTTGTTGTTGTTCAGGACGCCACTTAAAATCATTCTTCTTCCATGTCACATGACAGAGAGGGCTTACAATCTGACTGCACTCTGGAACATGCATTCTCCAAAAGCCGACAGCACTTGGGAAAGCCTGTGTTTCCTTGTTGCTGGTTGGTGGTGACGTAGCTGCTATTTTGTTGACCACATCCACTGGAATCTGACAATGTCCATCTTTCCATTTTACTCCTAAAAACTGAATTTCCTGGGCAGGTCCCTTGATCTTACTTTGTTTTATGGCAAAACTGGCCTTCAGGAGGATTTGTATTATCTTCTCCCTTTTCTCAAAACTTCCTCTGCTCTGTTGCCCCACACAATGATGTCACTGATGTATTGCAAGTGTTTGGATCCTCACCCATTTCCAAAGCAGTCTGGATCAGTCTATGGCAAATAATGGGGCGGTGTTTCCACCCCTAGGGCAGTCGGTTCCAGGCGTACTGGATGCCCCCCAAGGTGAAGACAAACATGGCCTGCACTCTGCTGCTTAAGGAATGGAGAAAAACACATTGGCAGTGTCAGTGTGGGCTCCAGTTTGTACTGAAGTTCCAAAAAACAAGTCTGGCACAGCAACACTCAGTGGTGGTGTGACTTCATTATTGTTTACACGGAAATCCGCCCAAAATAAATAAATACTGGACTGCTCCGTCCACCATGTTTTCTTTACTGGAAGGAATCTCTTCTCCCTAAAAGACAGAGAGAGAGAGAGAGAGAGAGAGTGTGTCCCTTTCCCCCAGCCCCAGCAGTGACGTGAGGTGGTGTCAAATAACATCCAGGTCCTAATCATGCCCCGTCCTTGCTACTTGAAAAAGGAACCCTGTCCTGGCCAGAACCAGAACGCTATTCTTCAGCCAAGCAACATCCTGTAAAGTGCCTTCATCCACATTTTCCATCCCCACCCAGAGATCCTCATCAACAAGGTAGCTGAAAGAAGAAAACAATGGCATGGAGAGAAATGTACACAGCCAAATTACCTTACAGAAAAGACTACAGTTGAATTTTGTTTCCAGGTCACTTGTAAATGAAAACAGAATAAAATGGAGACACATTCTCTCTATACTAAACAGTACTAGGCATCTCTCTAAATAAGAAAAAGGAGATTATATCTCCTTAATTAAGTCACCTACAATGAGAATGAACAACCAGGGCTGCAGAAATAGTCACAGAGTCTCAAAGCTAAGTAGAAAACGACCCTCCAAAGCTCTCGGAGCATTGCTGTTGTTTGAGTCTGCAGTTCACAAAGTTACTCCTCAGCACCTGCCCAAGTTTATTAGCTGCTATGCTATTTCATGTTATACTAGCACAGTTTGCATGGCCATATAAAGAAGAAGTGCTAGTTTAGTGATGAGGAGTACACCTGCCGCTGCAGTGCCAGGGGATAAGACTTTCTTTTTTTCTTTCACCTAAAGTGCTAGACCTTCTCTAGGTCTGTCAGACCTGGCAGCACATCCTCCCAGCAAGTGACAAACAATCCCAGGTTAGTTGGAAGAATGATGAAAATCACACTGCTGGACAGCCACAGGAAAGCCAAGAAATCAGAAGTCTCCTCATACTGTTATTTACAGCTTTTACCACAAAAAAACCCCCTATCGAGTATCTTTGCAATTCCAGCCTTCAGCCTTGATTTAGTTACCTTTTTGCTAAGGACAGATTTCAGCATTAAATGCCAGCCTTGCTGGGAAAATGAGTATGTACTTTTGAATCAGCTCCAACCAAGCTCCACAAGTCAAATGGTCAGGTATATTTCACCAAAAAGAATCTCAGAAAACAAAGGCTAGTCCACTTTTCTTTATTTGGATTTAGGATATACATCATCACACCGTTGTTCACAAGAACAATTCCATCCTGATGGGAGCTACTGGGATCTACTACTACCTAAAACATGAAGACAAGATCACTGCAGACAGCTTTTACTTGAATATGATATTCAAATAAAACTAGCAAGAAAAAAAAAAGCAACCCTAAAATTAAAACACTAATGATTACAAGCAAACAGAAATACAGATCCTTGATGCACCCACTTCAGGATACAGAAAGTCTTTTTAATGAGGGATGCCTACAATACTTCTTTCTTAATGCTTTATTTACTGAATATCTATACACAGAAGTGGCTGACTGCATCACTAAATACATTTTTATGCTACTACACAGAAAACTCCAGCTTCCATTATTTCATGGAACCTCTTTCTATTTTAAAGTACCACAGTAAGCAGTCTCCTATTCCAAACAATGCAGCAGCTATTTAAAACCCACGGGGGAAAAACCAAACAAAACCAAACAAAACAAAAGCCCAAACCATAGAATTAATCCCAACAACCACCTTTTGGAAGGCCCCTACTACTGTTGAACAGAAAATGTAATATTTTCTTCTAGCACATTATTCAAAAGGATCCATATTCAGCAACTACTCCAGCAGCAAATAAATCCACAAGTACATAAGAAATGAGCCAAAATGTGACAAAACTTCCCCAAAAAATTGTAGCTATGTTTTCTAGGAACCGCATAGAAAGAAGACTCCCAAGTTTCCTTCACTTAAAAGCCTGGGTAAATCCAGGCTTGTGATACCCAAGCATTTACCACCAGGGAATACATCAAGCTCCAACACACACACTGCCGGAAGTGCACACATCCCTCACACCTGTACTTGGGACCATCTTTCTGCTGAACTGAGAAAGACCGACCACCCCGGGCACTTCTGCTTCACTATATTAGCAATAATAAGGTGTTTTTCCAAAGTTCATAGTGTAGTCACAGTTAGCAATAAGAAACATTAAGTTTCTGAACTGGTTGTTCAATTATCAGTTCCAGAGAGGTGCAGTTTACCCAGAGACAAGGGGACCAGTCAGCAGCAGGGAAGGATCATGTGCCCATGTCCTCCCTTTTGAAGTGCTGTAGCCTGTTTTGCACAATAAGCACTTAATGGGGCAAACACACTGGGCAACTGGGCATGTCTGGGAGCCTGTAACCCCGGAGCATCTCAGCCTATGGAGGAACGGGGAGGGACCAGCACTCCAGGCAGAGGAGATAAAGGGGGCTGCGACGTCCCCCGACTCGAGAGACATCCCTGAGGTTTGTTTAATGAGTTCGTGCCTTTTTTCGAGTAAAAGTTGGGGTTTTGTTTTTGGTTTTGGTTGGTTGTTTAGTTTATTTGGTTTTGTTTTGCTTGTTTGTGTTTGGTTTGGTTTGGTTTTTTAGTTAGCTCCTCTGTGTCCTGGCTGTTTAGGTGTTTCGCAGTGCCTGGATTTTCAGAACAGCTGCAAGGGATCCAACACCGTTGAAGGGTACAAAGCAAGCACAGCTCTCTCACACCCTGCTCACCCTCCCCCTGCCACCCTGTGCAGGCACAGGAGCTGCACCCTTACGGCACGTGCGGACCGACCGACGGACACAGCACCCAGTCCCCCGTGCCCACCTCGCTCCCTTGCCTGCAGGGACAGGCAACACCTGACAGCAGCACCTTCTCGTCACCCCACAGGCACACGGAGCCTCTCTCCTTCCCCCTGCACAGCCAGGCTCCCGCAGCCGCACGGCCACACGGCAGGCACCAGCGCCGCTCCCCCCGCA